TAAATAACCACCTCCCTTTGTTTTACAGAAGGCCCCAAAAGATTAAACAATTTGCTTTTAGCTGTATGCCCAGTAAATAGCAAGGTCAGGATTTGAATCCAGGTCTCACTCTAGAGCTCTTTGTATTGCACAGACTTTGGCATGGAAGTTAGAAAGCTCCCAATTCAATTTCTGGTGAATTATAGTAATTTTCTCAGCTCTTGCTTTCTCTGTCTGTAAAATGAGACGATTGAGCTGAATTTCTAAAGTCATTACTGGTTGTAACATTCTGTGATTCCTGGATGCTTTTTCAGATTCAAGCAGAGAATATATAGAGCTTCTACTCTTCTCTTTGTGAGCAGCCAGTTGGGTTTGTATGCTAGCCTGATGATGTTATGACACCATCACCCTGTGCAGGTGTAGAAAAGGCATAGAAGGAGTATGGGTTAAAAGAAGGTACACTGTGTCAGCTGTTGATTTCTAAAAGAAAACCTGAAGTTTTTGAACTGCCAATTCACAAAAGAAAACTTGAAAGTACCTGAGTATCAAAGCAGCATGGCAAGCTTGGGCTGGAGAGTGTGTGGGTGGAACCTGGTATTAATTATTGTCTTTAGACACCAACATCCTTCACCTTCAAAGGGCTCTTGTGCCTGAGTGAGTGAGTTTGTGTGTGTGCATCTGTCTCCAAGCATCGGGGATTGTGCTAGATGGTACAGTGATGACTCAGTTTCAGTTCTTTCAGGGTCATATAACATTTCCAATTAAATGGTAGACAGATGGTTATGGGAGGGACACAATGATTATTGACATAGGAGAGCTAATGAGATGACATGACATAAAAAAGAAGTATCATTATTGCAGTATTTTTATTCCATTGATATAGTACCTTTTTCTTGAAGGTGCTATACAAATAACACTGAGATAATAAGCCATTTTAAAATGTCAAAACATGGAAGAACGAGAAAGTGGCTAGGAGAAATAAATACACAGAAAAGAAGCAGTGGGGGCTGTAGAGCACTGATCACCTTAGCAGTTACTAACTGGCTACATTCATTGCACTCACTAGTGGTGCTGGAAATGGCTGGGGGCTTGATATGGAGGTCTCTTCCTTGGCCCATCCTGGTGATCACAGTGCCACATCCTGTGGTTGTGATTGAAGACCATGGGCGTGGTTGTGATTGAAGACCATGGGCTTTGTTGTCAAATGGACTTGTCCTTGCTACTTATTAGCTGTTGACTTGGAACAAATTACCTAAACTTTTTGAACCTCAATTTCTTTATCATTAAAATGATGTTATTTATACCTTCGTTGTTAGGGTTTTCCTGAGGACTAACATAAATACGTTATACACATAAAATATTTAGTTCAGTGCCTGGCACATAATAAATGCATCATAAATGCTAGCTATTCTTACGTTTAGAATATGTCAAAAGGTAGTGATTCTGATGAAGTTATAGAGTATGATAGCAACACTTCCCTGTGGTTTGAAGGCCATGTCAAGTTATAAGAATCTTGTACTTCTCTGAATTGATATAATAAACTGTAATCTGTATTTCACAGAGTAGCATTAGATTTTTAAAATATATAGGGAATATAGACAATAATCACACTCAGATACCTACCAACAGCTTAAGAAATAAAAAATTACAAAACAAGATAGAAGACCCGTTTTTCTCCTTATCCCTTGGCCTCAAAGAGGTAATCACTATCCTGAATCTGGTATATTATTTCCTTGAATGTTTTTATCTTGTAATTATTACCATTCATGTATCTATAAACAATATATGGTATTCTTAACATATTTTAAATTTTTGTATAAGTATTATTATACCATGTATATCTTTCTGTAGCTTGCTTGCTTTTCTCTCTCAACATTCTTTTTGAGATTTTTCTATTATACTTGTAGCCTTATTCATTTAATCACTATAGAGTATTTTAAGATCAATTTTCTGTTAATGGACATTACCTATCTTTGGATATTTTTGTGTGCCTCTCACCATCACACCACCCTCCCTCAATCTAAGATGTAACTGCTCTTCTGAATTATGCCAATATTTGGGGGCTTTGAAAAGGTTTAAGGCCAGGTGCTGTGGCTCACACCTGTAATCCCAGCAATTTGGGAGACTGAGGCGGGCGGATCACCTGAGGCCAGGAGTTGGAGACCAGCCTGGCCAACGTGATGAAACCCCATCTCTACAAAAATACAAAAATTAGCCGGTTGTGATGGCAGGCGATTGTAATCCCAGCGACTTAGGAGGCTGAGGCAGGAGAATCACTTGAACCTGCGAGACAGAAGTTGCAGTGAGCTGAGATGGCACCACTGCACTCTAGCCTAGGTGACAGAGTGAGACTCCATCTCAAAAGAGAAAAAAAGAAAAAAAATGAGTTAAGCATACAAATCCCTAAACAGTATATCTGAGTTTGTACTGTTTTTAAGGTTTATATAAGCACAGTACAATCTACTGTGATTTAGTGGCTTACTTTTTCCCCTCAGCGTCATGATTTTGAGATTCATTCATGTTGATACATATGACAATAGTTGTTTCCATTATGTACATTATTCCATTGTTTGTTTGTGCCATTATTTATAGACCTTAAGGTTGTTGCTATCTCCTTGAATATGTTTGTTGAGTTTCTCTCAGGTATATATCTAGGGATTAAATGACTGGGGTGTAGGTAATATACGTGTATTTTTATCTTCACTGGATATTGATATGTAGTAATTTCATTATTGTAAGTATTTTGTAATTTTATAATTTGATTTCACTCACGAGTTTAAAATTTTCTTTTGTATATTTCCAAATATAAATTTTTTTCTCAGCAGTTTTTAACTCAGTTGCCCTATGATCAGGTAATATTGTCTGTATCTTAGTAATTCTTTGGCATTTGTTGAGACTTTTGCTTTGTGTTCTGATATGTGGTCAAGATTTAGCCAGGTTTTAATCAGCTTTTATAAATATTCCATGTGTTTGAAAATAATTTATTTGGCCGGGCTTGGTGGCTCATGCCTGTAATCCCAGCACTTTGGGAGGCTGAGGCGGGCGGATCACCTGAGGTCAGGAGTTCGTGACCATCCTGGCCAACATGGTGAAACCCCATCTCTACTAAAAATACAAAAATTAGCTGGGCGTGGTGGCACACGTCTGTAATCCCAGCTACTCGGGGCCTGAGGCAGGAGAATTGCTTGAGCCTGGGAGACGGAGGTTGCAGTGAGCTGAGATCGTGCCACTGCACTCCAGCCTGGCCAATAGAGTGAGACTCTGTCTCAAAAAGAAAGAAAACAAAACAAGAAAATAATTCATTATCTAATTGTTGGATACTTGGTCTTTGTATGCTTATTAATTATTTTGTGTGAGAGTTATATTAAAATCATCCCCTGTAGGAAATTTGTCAGTTTCTTGTGAATATAACCATTTTTACTTTAAGTACAGTTGGCCCTGGAACAAAATGAGTTTGAACTTTGTATGCCTGCTTATATGAAGCTTTTCAACCAAACCCGGATTGAAAATATGGGATGCTAAACCTGTGTATATGGAGGACCAGTATTTAATATACGTTGGTTCAGTAGGGCTGACTGTGGAACCTGAGTATATGCGGGAGCTCTGAAACCAATCCCCCTTGTATACTAAGGGAGGGCAGTATTTTGTGGCTTTGGAGAAGACTCTTTTACTATTTTATAATGATCCTCTTCACCCCTAATAATGCTTTTGACTTAAAGTCTACATATTCTGACAGTACTGTAGCCATACTAGCTTTCTGTTCATCCCCTCCTCTCCCGTTTTTCTTTTCCTTTCCTTTTCCTTTCTTCATTCTTTTTTTTCCTCCTCTCCTCTCTCTCCCCCCCTCCCCTCCCTTTTCTCCTCTCCCTCTCCTTTCTCTGTTCCTGTCTTGTCCTCCCTTCCCCTTCCCCTTCCGCTTCCCCTTCCCCTTCCCCTTCCCCTTTCCATTCCCCTTCTCCTGCCTTTTCCCCTTCCCTTTCCTCTTTCTTTCTTACTCCTGGACTCAAGAGATACCACCAAGTAGCTGAGACTACAGGTGTGCGCCACCACCCTCAGCTAATTTTTTAAAACTTTTTTAGAGATGAGGTCTTGCTGTGTTGCTCATGCTCGTCTCAAACTTCAGGCCTCAAGTAGTCCTCCCACTGCAGTCTTCAGAAATACTAGGATTATAGGTGTGAGCTACTGTGCCCTGCGTGTTCACTTATTTTTTTTGCCAGGTACATTTTTTTATATATATACAATTGTGTTATACTTGGGGGATTGGCTACAGGACTCCCTTGCATATACCAAAATCTGTGCATACTCAGGTTCATCAGTCTGCACTGCAGAACCATGGTATATGGAAAGTAGGCCTTCCATATATGATTTTTGCATCCTGTGAACATTGTATTTTTGATCTGCATTTGGTTGAAAAAAATCCGCATATAAGTGGACCCACACGGTTCAAACCCATGACGTTCGAGGACTAACTGTACTTTAACATTTTGTTTATCCTCTCATATTTGTGTTTTTAGTATGTTCCTTATAAATTGAATATAACTGGACTTTAGTCCAAATATTCTTTTAGCTGAAAAGTTCAGTCTGTTTATTACCATTACTGACATATTTATACTTATTTCTACCATCTTGTTATGTGTTTTCTGTTTACTCTGCTGTTTTCTCTGCTACCTTTTTCATGACCTTTCCTTCTAAAAAGTTTGAAAAACTGTTGTTTATTCCCTTTTTCCTTCTGATTACTCTTAAATATTTAACATGCATCTTTGGCTTTGCACAGAACATTAAAATCAGTATGTTTGCATTCTTCTAAATAATAAGGGACCTTGGAAAACTTTTAACTGTAGTCACCTTCCACTAATCTTAAACGTTTTTGACCAGTGTTTTACTCCCATGGTTTTTTAATCACCCAGATCAGTCTTTATTATTGCTGTTGTTGCATTTAATTTTTGTACCAACTTCCATTGTTTTCTAATCCTCAGAGACTGTGAACTCCTTAATTAAGCTCATTTTCTATTTTTCTTCAGATTTTCAAAAGAAACAACCAGACGATGATTCCGCTCCAAGTACAAGTAACAGCCAATCAGATTTGTTTTCCGAAGAGACCACCAGTGACAACAACAATACCTCGATAACCACGCCAACTCTTAGTCCCAGCCAGCAGCCGCTTCCGACAGAACTGAATGTAACTTCACCGAGTAAAGAGGAGTGTAAGTGCCTGGCTTCTTAGGGGTGGTAGAGAGGGCAGCCTAAGAACCTTAGATGAGCATCTTGGTAATGCCTAACCCCAGAAAAAACAGCACTTCTTTTAATTCAAGATAAGTGTTCACATACAAGACCCAAGCTCAGCAAGTTAGAGAGTAAGTTTCAGCCATTCCTGAAGAAATAGCCTTTTATACTGTCAAAGTACATGAAGTTTTGAACCAGTCTAGAGAGCAGTGGCTCTCACCTATGTCTGCACATTAGAATCCACTGGAGGTTTTTAAAACAATTTTAATCTTTAGCATCATTCCCTCATTCTCATTTAATTCATCTGGAGGGAGACCCAGGGATCTGTTATTTTTAACTCTGCAGAGGATTTCTAATGTGCAGCAAGGGACCAGTAAGGGATTCTAACCCTAAAACCCTAATTTAGGAGCCTTAGATTGAAACTTTACCTCTTGTCACTAACTGGACCTTGACTGTTTCTAAGCATTTAACTGAGAAAACACTATACTTCATAGGACATAGGATATTTAAAGGAAGAAGGAGATGGTATTACTCTTCTGTAAGTCTTCAGTGTTGGAATGCTATTTTGTAGGTGATATAGAAGTTCACTGTCTACTTAATTTTTTTTTTTTTTTGCCTTGAGATACTCACTCTGTTGCCCAGGCTGGAGTGCAGTGGTGTCATCTCAACTGACGGCAACTCTAGCTCCTGGGTTCAAGTGATTCTCCTGCCTCAGCCTCCTGAGTAGCTTGGATTACAGGTGCCTGCCACCATGCCTGGCTAATTTTTATATTTTTAGTAGAGACAGGATATCGCCATGTTGGCCAAGCTGGTCTCGAACTCCTGACCTCAAATGATCTACCTGCCTCGGTCTCCCAAAGTGCTGGGATTACAGGCGTGAGCCACCATGCCCGGCCCATTGTCTACTTAATTTTTATAATGTCATAACATAACATCTCTTTCCCTCCATCCCCCATCCTTGGTGGTACATGAAACATACATCTCTTTTAGGGCACAACTATAACTGATAGTATTTGTTGAAAATTATAGGGATATTATGACATAGCAATTTTTGCCTTTTAAAAGCTCTGCTTGGCCAAGGCAGGAGGATTGCTTGAGGCCAGGAGTTTGAGACCAGCCTAGACAACATGGTGAGACTCTTTTCTCTACCCCCCCAAAAAAAAATTAGCCAGGTGTGGTGGTGTGTGTTATGGTCCCAGCTGCTTAGGAAGCTGAGGCAGGAGGATCTCTTGAGCCCAAGAGTTCAGGGTTACAGTGGACTGACTATGGTCTCACCATTACACTGCAGCTTTGTGAGACCTGGTCTTTTTTTTTTTCTCTCTAAAAAAAAAATAAATAAATAAAAGCTAAGTTGAAATTTAGTATTTCAAGTTTCATGAATATCTAGAAACACAGTAGGTTAGAATGTTGTGTGTTCTGTATACTAACTTTGGAAAGGTTAGCAGAAAACAAATATCTAAATCTATCATAAACTACTGTATTTGGTAATATTGAGAATATAAAATAAGCAAGGTCATAGTCCTTGTCCTCAAAGAATTTGAAGGGGAAATTGAATATATTTGTTGTAGTTTATCGGTGGTTATCAACCAGGAGTGATCTCCCACCCCACAGCCCCAGAACATTTGATAGTGTCTGGAGGCCAGGGATGCTGCTAAATGTCCTACATGATATAGGACAGTCCTCTGCAACAAAAAATCATTCATCTCACAATACCAGTAATGCTGAGTTTGACAAACCCTGATACATGTTTGCATACACCCATGTTGGTCCTTATATATTAAAGACAGCAACTGTTGAAGGACATTGACTTACTGAGGAAGTGGTAAAGATGGATAGAAGGTGGTGAAGAGACACACTAGACAGAGTAGAATGAGCTGTGGAGGGAAAGCTGCATGAAGTTTCTCAATGGCAAATGACTGTCTTAGTGCCATTTATGGAAGAGAATGAAGGACAAGGCTAGAAGGGTAAGTCGTGGCCAAGACATAGAGGCTTAAATGTCCAGCTAAGCTATTTGGACTTGAGACAGTAGCCATATTTTTGAGCAGAGGAAGTGATATTATTACAGTCCTTTGGAGAAGTAACCTTGGTTGTATTGAAAGTGGAAAGGATTAAACAGGAATAACATTGCAAAGAGAGAATTTTTAAAATGTTATAAATTATTGAATAGAGGCCAAAGCAGGTGTAGAAATCATGTAAGAGGAGAAAAAAAAATGGGGAAAATGGTAGTGGTCATGCTAAGGCAGTAGATTTTGTTTTGTTTTCAAAAATCTGTTCAAGGTCATGTACTCATTGAGGAGCTGATGACAGCTATGGCCCCTTGTCTTAGAAAAATATACACCATCCATTTATACCCAATTTTGCATAGAATTTCTCTACAGCTTATTATGGCCCTTGGGTTAAGAACCCCTGGTCTAAGGAAAAGGTTGGTCAGGATCTCATCTGATGGAAACTGGATTGGATTCGTGCATACCAGGATCAGGCCATCACAAACCAATTCAAGCCGCCAAAATGCATGTGAGGCTGAGATAACAGCAGCTACTATTTATTGAGCACTTTATATATGAGCCATTATTCTACATGCATATTTTCTCATTGTTTCTCGTGATAACCCAATGAGGTAGATACTGTCATTATACTCATTCCATAGATGAGGAATTAGACACAAAAAGATTAAATAATTTGACTGTGGTCACAAACTAGTAGATACCAGAACCAGGATTCAAAAATTTAGGCATTTGGCTTCAGAGTTCATACTTTTAATCAGTTAATTCACAATGTGAAACACAACTGTCACAGAGAGTAGTATTTGTGTGGGCAAGAGGGATGCTTTCTCTTCCTGTCATTAAGATATGTGGAAATCCACATCATAAGCAAAAGTTACTAGCCAGTTTCGGCCACTGTAGACTGCTATGGTTTTTTTTTTTCTAAATATGAATACCTTCAGCCTGATTAAGGATGTCTAGTTCTACTAGCTTCATTTCCTTTCTCTCTTTTTGGTGACATCATTGCTTTGAACCATTGTATGTTTCTCTTAGACTTATACTCTCTGAAGCTAATCTCTTTCCTAATTCCTCAAGTTTCTACAGATCTAGGGAAATGAGATTTGCCAATTGGAGATATGGTGATGACTTAAGTTTGTATTATATGCAGCTGGGCAGGTTGAGTTGGAGCTCAGAGGAGAGAAGTCAAGATTGGCTTTATCCACATGGAGATGATAGTTTAAGCCATAGGTGTTAAATGAGTTTGCTAAGGGTGAGAGTAAAGAAAAGCAGGGAGGGCTGGGCACGGTGGCTCATGCCTGTAATCCCAGCATTTTGGGAGGCTGAGGCAGGCGGATCACAAGGTCAAGAGATCAAGACCATCCTGGCCAACATGGTGAAACCCTATCTCTACAAAAAATACAAAAATTAACTGAACATGGTGGCATGCGCCTGTAGTCCCAGCTACTCGGGAGGCTGAGACAGGGAAATTGCTTGAACCTAGGAGGTGAAGTTGCAGTGAGCCGAGATCACGCCACTGCAGTCCAGCCTGGCGACAGAGTGAGACTCTGTCTCAAAAAAAAAAAAAAAAAAAAAAAAAAAGAAGAAGAAAAGCAGTGAGAATAGACCTGTGAGTGAAATTTCTGCACTTAAGGAGCAAAAAGGATAGAGGAGGCAACTGAAGAAGTCAGGAGGAGAATGATAGTGGGCAAGGTCACAAAAGCCAAGGAACAAATTTCAGTTTAGATAATAATAATATTAGCTCATATTTATGAAACATTTGCTATATTCTAGACAGTCTTCAAAATTCTTTAGATGTGGTAACATTTAATTTTCAATACAGCCTATTAGGGTAGGTGCTTTTATTATACTTGTTTTTATAGATGAGGACACTAAAGCTTAGAGAGGTTCATTAACTTTCTCCCCAAAGTTATAGAGCTATTGCAAGGCAGTGAAGCCCATGCTGTAACACACGAATTTGGATCCAGAGCCTATGTTTTCAGTCACTATAAGATATTGTCACAATATTATGAAAATGCTACTGAGGCTGTAAACTGACAAAGAGGCACTTGGATTTAGTGATCATAAGATGGATTACCTAAATAAACTATTTAATAAACGGTTTCAGTGGTTTGTATATTCATTTAGCAATCTTTGCTGAGTGCCTGCTATATGTTAGACACTAAGTTAAGTGCTGAGTATAGAAATGAATAAGATTAGTCTTAATGCACAAGGAGGTCACCTTTTTGACTACATGTCTGTCCCTGGGAGTCTGGTTTATTCTCCCAAACAAGTGCATAGGAATTTTGGGGTGGAAGGGAGGAATTAGCAAGTAGTGGTTAACAGGCATGTCATTTGCAAAGCTTTTTCAGGTCAGCTTTGCTCCCTCACCTAGGTTGAAAGCAGCTGTGCTAGTGTGAGGAGATGTGTGCCAGATTTGGGGGTTGAGAATATGGGGTAAGAAAAGTACCCTGGGTTTGTTAAGAGCTGTCAGGGTGGATGCTTTAAAAATCAGTGGGAGTTAAAGTGATTGCCTAGTAGCAGTGAAGACCCAGGTGAGACACTAGACAGCCTGATCCATCTACGTCTTGCAAATTTTTTTAGCTGTGATCTGCCAAGGTGGCAAAGGATGGTGGAAGAGGCAGCAGGAGATTGCCTATGTTGATATTTTAGTATCCTCAAGGGACCAGAATTTCATCTGTGGATTTCTTCTTAGCTTCCCCTAAAGAGATGTGGAGAAGTAACATGTAGCAGTTGTTGGAAAATGGATTTGGGATGCTAGATCCAAGTACCATGAAATTTGTAAACTATTGAGTAGTTATGGATCCATTGTTATTGCATAGAGCTAGAAGTGCTACATTTTGTTGGGGGCTTGTGAAAGGGTTTTTTTTCCCCCTAATATACAAGAAAATGGATATTGCTTAAATCTATTTTCACCTTCTTACTATCAACATGAACTTGAACTATGAACATATCAACAGAAAGTAGTGAGAGTCTGGATA